GCCTCGGGCCGGGCTTGGGGATTAGAAGAACTCCCAGAACCCCATCAACCAGGTATCAACCAGGTAGTCCTGAGGGGGTCCGGGTTCGATCCCCGGTGGAGGCGGAAGCAAATCGCCATAGTTTCTTTCACCCTGATGCCCCCTGTTCACCTAGCAGTAAATAGGTACCTGGTAGTTAGACAGCTATTACTGGCTGATTCCTGAGTGTGTGTGTGGGGGTGGGGGGGGGGAATAAATAAATAAATAATTAGTAACAGTTGATTGATTGACGGTTGAGAGGCGGGCCTAAAGAGCAGAGCTCAACCCCCGCAAGCACAACTACGTGAATACAACTAGGCGAACACACACACACACACACACACACACACACACACACACACACACACACACACACACACACACACACACACACACACACAGCAGTGATGTGGTGGAGGCTGACTCCATACACAGTTTCAAATGTAGATATGACAGAGCCCGATAGGCTCAGGAATCTGTACACCTGTTGATTGACGGTTGAGAGGCGGGACCAAAGAGCCAGAGCTCAACCCCCGCAAACACAACTAGATGAGTACAACTAGGTGAGTACAGTCACCCCCGCCCCCCCCCATCACACACACACACCTTCAGGTCACCCCCCCCCATCACACACACACACACACACACAGTCACCCCCCCCCATCACACACACAACGCGGATGTTATGAACGCAATATATGTCTTACAGTTTGAGAGAGATCGATGAGACATGACCACTACAACAGGGTTCTGGAGGTCATGTATCCAGATGCCTGCGGCGGAATGTATACAATGTCTTCTTTTGTCTTGTGGGGGTCACTTCAGTATACATATAACCAAAACACACACCGGTCACCTGTTACAAAGGTTATGTATACCTACTCCTGAAACTACGCGTGTAGAGTTAGCCTCTGTCACTTCCCCTTTCAGCTTATTCCGTTACTTCATTTCCGTTATTCCATGTGCTTATTCCGTTACTTTATGTGCTTATTCCGTTACTTTATGTGCTTATTCCGTTACTTTGTGTGCTTATTCCGTTACTTTGTGTGCTTATTCCGTTACTTTGTGTGCTTATTCCGTTACTTTATGTGCTTATTCCGTTACTTTGTGTGCTTATTCCGTTACTTTGTGTGCTTACTCCGTTACTTTGTGTGCTTATTCCGTTACTTTGTGTGCTTATTCCGTTACTTTGTGTGCTTATTCCGTTACTTTGTGTGCTTATTCCGTTACTTTGTGTGCTTATTCCGTTACTTTGTGTGCTTATTCCGTTACTTTATGTGCTTATTCCGTTACTTTGTGTGCTTATTCCGTTACTTTATGTGCTTACTCCGTTACTTTGTGCTTATTCCGTCCTTTGTGTGCTTATTCGTGTGCTTACGTTACTTTATGTGCTTACTCCGTTACTTTGTGTGCTTACTCCGTTACTTTGTGTGCTTACTCCGTTACTTTGTGTGCTTACTCCGTTACTTTATGTGCTTACTCCGTTACTTTATGAGCTTATTCCGTTACTTTATGAGCTTATTCCGTTACTTTATGAGCTTATTCCGTTACTTTATGTGTTTTCTCACATCTCAAAGGCTTTTCTCAAGTTCTAGATACTAGCCGCGTCCTATCACCTTGCTCCTTGTCTTCGTCCTAAACATTTCTTATCTCTCCACTTCGTTCCCAGCTCTGCTACATCTCCTCCGGTTTTCTGTGATTCTGTTCTCTGGATTTTCTACTTCCATTTTCTCCTTTTGGCTTTTTTGGTATTTTCTGTTCAATCATGGCCTGCTATATTGCCTCAAACTTGTATCACTTTTTTCTTAGTATCTCTCTTCATCCTTCGTTAACTTATTATTTTATGGTCTGACGTACCCCTAAGATCTTCCTCTCATTGAAAGTTATCTAGATACTCTTATTCTCACGTAATTTCCATTACTGTTGCCTATTCTCCTCCTCTCCCTGATCCCGTCAATAAACGTGACAATGGTTGCTGTCTCCTAGTCAGATTTCAAGCTTTAAGTTTGGTTCTATTCCTTCCGGGTGAAGATCAGATCCACTAGACTAGGAGCTAGATTCACCAAAGCAGTTACGCAAGCACTTACAAACGTGTACATCTTTCCTCAATCTTTGACGGCTTTGGTTACATTTATTAAACAGTTTACAAGCAAGGAAACTTCCCATTCAACTATTGTTATTGTTCTAAACAGCCTCCTGGAGCTTCGGAGCTCATTAACTGTTATAGGAAACAAAGCCTCCAAAGATTGAGAAAAGATGTACAGGTTCGTAAGTGCTTGCGTGAATCTGGCCCCTAGGTGTACATCTCCTTACCCCATTCCTCTTGTGCCATTTTCTCACGTGATATTAAGAAGTTCCTAAAACCACTAATTTCACATACCTGATGGCATTCCTTCCCTCATCCTTCCCTCCTATCTTAATCCTCCTCCTCCAACACTCACCTGAGAAATACTATTTGTATCGGTAAATACATAAACCAGTAAGATAGCTTTCCACTTCCATACTAAAAGTTCGTCAAGCTTTCCACTTCCATACTAAAAGTTCGTCAAGCTTTCCACTTCCATACTAAAAGTTCGTCAAGCTTTCCACTTCCATACTAAAAGTTCGTCAAGCTTTCCACTTCCATACTAAAAGTTCGTCAAGCTTTCCACTTCCATACTAAAAGTTCGTCAAGCTTTCCACTTCCATACTAAAAGTTCGTCAAGCTGTATATTTGTCTCGTGTATTCCGCCGGCGATCAGGATTTTCTTGTGTTTATTATTTGATGTGAAAAGTTATATCGGAAAATGTTATATTTTTAATTATGTTAACATAATTAATTAACATAACATGACCGGGGAGCCGGTCGGCCGAGCGGACGGCACGCTGGACTTGTGATCCTGTGGTCCTGGGTTCGATCCCAGGCGCCGGCGAGAAACAATAGGCAGAGTTTCTTTCACCCTATGCCCCTGTTACCTAGCAGTAAAATAGGTACCTGGGTGTTAGTCAGCTGTCACGGGCTGCTTCCTGGGGGTGGAGGCCTGGTCGAGGACCGGGCCGCGGGGACACTAAAAAAAAGCCCCGAAATCATCTAAAGATAACCTAAAGATCTAAAGATAACAGCATTGTTTTGTGTCGCATTGAACGGCCGTTCCTCAAAGGTGTGCCTGTGGTGCACATCTCTCTGATACACACTTGAAGGTCTACTGCCCTCAAGAGGGGTTATCAAGGCCTATTAATATCTGATGGGGTTATTGAGGGGGTGTCAACCTATGATGGGGTTATTGAGGGGGGTGTCAACCTCTGATGGGGTGGGTGTCAACCTCTGTTAGGGGGGTTGAGGGGGGAGGGGGGTGTCAACCTCTGTGAGGGGGTGTCAACCTCTGTGAGGGGGAGGGGGGTGTCAACCTCTGTGAGGGGGTGTCAACCTCTGATGGAGTTATTGAGGGGGTTGTTAACCTCTGTGAGGGGGTTATTGAGGGGGGTGTCAACCTCTGTGAGGGGGTTATTGAGGGGGGTGTCAACCTCTGTGAGGGGGTTATTGAGGGGGGTGTCAACCTCTGTGAGGGGGTTATTGAGGGGGGGTGTCAACCTCTGTGAGGGGTTACTGAGGGAGTGTCAACCTCTGATGGGGTTACTGAGGGAGTGTCAACCTCTGATGGGGTTACTGAGGGAGTGTCAACCTCTGATGGGGTTACTGAGGGAGTGTCAACCTCTGATGGGGTTACTGAGGGAGTGTCAACATCTCAGGGGAATATTGAGGCCACCACAATAGCTTGCTTGACCATCCAGGAAGTATACAATAATCCTGTACATACTCACAGTCAATATACACCAAGAAATAGGGTGTATACGACCCGTATACACTCTACACCGTCACGACCCGTTCCCTTGGGGCTTGTGTTAGTCCTCAATGTTCCCCTCTCACCTTAATAGTTGCAAAAACGCGTTAGGTTTAATTATTCCTTTAATGTACTTACAGACCTTGGGCCAGATTCACGAAAGCACTTACGCCAGCACTTACGAACCTGTACATCTTTTCTCAATCTTTGGCGGCTTTGTTTCCAATTATTAAACAGTTAATGAGCTCCGAAGCACCAGGAGGCTGTTTATAACAATAACAACAGTTGAATGGGAAGTTTTCATGCTTGTAAACTGTTTGATATATGTAACTAAAGCCGTCAAAGATTGAGGAAAGATGTACACGTTCGTAAGTGCTTGCATAAGTGCTTTCGTGAATCTGGCCCCTTGTCAGTAAGTACATGATCAACACACTATGGTGAGGTTGGGTGACATTACTAGTAATTAAAAGTACTAAGTGTGTAACTCGTGTCTTTAAATGTACTAACTTGAGGGCGGACTGGTACATTACAGCCTCAGCATACATTATACAGTTATAACTTGAGAATAATCTCTCTTTAGGAGTCGTCTCTCTTCAGAATAATCTCTCTCTTCCTATGACCAAGATGAATAATCGAGGCTTCGAAAGTCTAAAAAAGTATACTTTATACTTGTGGTTTAAACAGCCATAGACATTATAATCACTTAAGCCCAGTTTATAAATGCATTATCTAAATAACAGTAAAATGCACCAAGGTTGTTTTAAGTGAACTAACCTGAGGACGGGTTATTTACTTTGAGGTTATCTTGAGATGATTTCGGGGCTTTAGTGTCCCCGCGGCCCGGTCCTCGACCAGGCCTCCACCCCCCCAGGAAGCTGCCCGTGACAGCTGACTAACACCCAGGTACCTATTTTACTGCTAGGTAACAGGGGCATAGGGTGAAAGAAACTCTGCCCATTGTTTCTCGCCGGCGCTCGAGATCGAACCCGGGACCACAAGATGACAAGTCCAGTGTGCTGTCCGCTCGGCCGACCGGCTCCCCCTAGTTAGGAGTTAGGGCTGTGGGGACGAGAGAGGGGAGGGTGTAAGGCAGGAGGCACGCGAGGGCACTTCATCACCGCCTCCCGGGTCAATTGTAAGGAGGAGAGCCGTGACCTGCAGCCCCGGGGTCATCACTCTTCAAGAGACGGGGAGGGAGCGAGACGCTACCTGGCCCGTCCTTTCCTACCGTCTCTTCCTTTTCCTTCCTACACCTCCCCCACCGTCCTCCTACCCTTCGCCTCCCCCACCGTCCTCCATCCCTTCGCCTCCCCCACCGTCCTCCATCCCTTCGCCTCCCCCACCGTCCTCCATCCCTTCGCCTCCCCCACCGTCCTCCATCCCTTCGCCTCCCCCACCGTCCTCCTACCCTTCGCCTCCCCCACCGTCCTCCATCCCTTCGCCTCCCCCACCGTCCTCCATCCCTTCGCCTCCCCCACCGTCCTCCATCCCTTCGCCTCCCCCACCGTCCTCCATCCCTTCGCCTCCCCCACCGTCCTCCATCCCTTCGCCTCCCCCACCGTCCTCCATCCCTTCGCCTCCCCCACCGTCCTCCATCCCTTCGCCTCCCCCACCGTCCTCCATCCCTTCGCCTCCCCCACCGTCCTCCATCCCTTCGCCTCCCCCACCGTCCTCCTACCCTTCGCCTCCCCCACCGTCCTCCATCCCTTCGCCTCCCCCACCGTCCTCCATCCCTTCGCCTCCCCCACCGTCCTCCATCCCTTCGCCTCCCCCACCGTCCTCCATCCCTTCGCCTCCCCCACCGTCCTCCATCCCTTCGCCTCCCCCACCGTCCTCCATCCCTTCGCCTCCCCCACCGTCCTCCATCCCTTCGCCTCCCCCACCGTCCTCCATCCCTTCGCCTCCCCCACCGTCCTCCATCCCTTCGCCTCCCCCACCGTCCTCCTACCCTTCGCCTCCCCCACCGTCCTCCATCCCTTCGCCTCCCCCACCGTCCTCCATCCCTTCGCCTCCCCCACCGTCCTCCATCCCTTCGCCTCCCCCACCGTCCTCCATCCCTTCGCCTCCCCCACCGTCCTCCATCCCTTCGCCTCCCCCACCGTCCTCCATCCCTTCGCCTCCCCCACCGTCCTCCATCCCTTCGCCTCCCCCACCGTCCTCCATCCCTTCGCCTCCCCCACCGTCCTCCATCCCTTCGCCTCCCCCACCGTCCTCCATCCCTTCGCCTCCCCCACCGTCCTCCTACCCTTCGCCTCCTCCCTTCGCCTTCCCCACCGTCCTCCTACCCTTCGCCTCCCCCACCGTCCTCCTACCCTTCGCCTCCCCCACCGTCCTCCTACCCTTCGCCTCCCTTTAGGAAAAAGAAGAGATCTGCAAGAGGTCAAGAGCCTGAAATAAGAGGACTAGGCTACAAGGAACTTAGCGAACTCCGTCTCATCAACACGAGAGACAGAACAGGGCGGAAATAATTACAAAAGATGCAGGCGATGAGTCACAATAACGTGGCTGAAGTATGTTGACCAGACCACACACTAGAAGGTGAAGGGACGACGACGTTTCGGTCCGTCCTGGACCATTCTCAAGTCGATTGAGAATGGTCCAGGACGACTATCTACTTGAGAATGGTCCAGGACGGACCGAAACGTCGTCGTCCCTTCAACTTCTAGTGTGTGGTCTGGTCAACAATTACAAAAGAGCCTCAGAGGGAATAAACAAGGAGAGCCTTTTTAAAGTGATAGAAAATAGTAGAGGAAATAAGACGAATCTTGTAACTCAAACGAGTCCAAGAAGTATAGAGGTTGTACTTGCACCCTGTACAGGTGGAATACAATTAGAAGTCGCTAAGAAAGTTGAAGCCACCATCTAGATTCAATAGCAAATTTGACAGTTAAAATAACCATGTACAAGGCCAGTGAGTGACAGTTACACAACACTCCCACCATAGCCACTATGTTGAAATAGTTTTATCCTCCCAGTATGTGCTCCCTCCCCCCCCAGTACCTTACCCCCTCCCTATCCTCACCAACATTACCCCCTCCCCACCCCACTTTGCCCCTCCCCGCCCTTCCCATTGACAAATGAGGTGCAGGCGGCCCCCCTCACTTCCCCTGGCCGCCACTCCTGAAGACCCAGTCCATACCTGAAGGTGAAATAAATATACCTTTCCTACTTTCTTTTTCGACATGGACTCGCTCCCATTCCGTAGGTCTTGGTGACACCTTTCTCCCATCCCATATGCCCCCCTCCCTTCCCTAAAAAATACGCGCCGTTCTCTCCTCGCACTTCAGGAATAACAAGGAAACAAATGAACACAGGTGGTTGGTGAATACACCGGTGATTGGAGAGTGACAAATTGCTCTCTCACACACGTTTGATCAAAGAATGAGGGGCGGAGAGAAAGAGGAATGAAAGGGGGAGCGGCAAGGGAAATAGTAAAGATGGGTGTGGTAAAGAGGTTTGCAGTTATTTTATCTATCAGTCTTACTCCCCCCCCCTACTATCCTGGTGTTCCCCAGCCCCACACACTCCCCCCCCCTACTATCCTGGTGTTCCCCAGCCCCACACACTCCCCCCCCACTACTATCCTGGTGTTCCCCAGCCCCACACACTCCCCCCCCCCCTACTATCCTGGTGTACCCCAGCCCCACACTCCCCCCCACTACTATCCTGGTGTACCCCAGCCCCACACTCCCCCCCCCCCCTACTATCCTGGTGTTCCCCAGCCCCACACTCACCCCCCCTACTATCCTGGTGTTCCCCAGCCCCACCCCCCCCCCCACTACTATCCTGGTGTTCCCCAGCCCCCACTCCCCCCCACTACTATCCTTGTGTTCCCCAGCCCCACCCCCCCCTACTATCGTGGTGTTCCCCAGCCCCACACTCCCCCCCCCACTACTATCGTGGTGTTCCCCAGCCCCACACTCCCCCCCCCCCACTACTATCGTGGTGTTCCCCAGCCCCACACTCCCCCCCCCACTACTATCCTGGTGTTCCCCAGCCCCACACTCACCCCCCCTACTATCCTGGTGTACCCCAGCCCCACCCCCCCTAAAATCCTGGTGTACCCCAGCCCCCCCCCCCCCCTACTATCGTGGTGTTCCCCAGCCCCACACTCCCCCCCCCCCCACTACTATCGTGGTGTTCCCCAGCCCTACACTCCCCCCCCCCCCCACTACTATCCTGGTGTTCCCCAGACATAACCCTAACTCTCCTAGTTGTGGACTCTCCCCCCCCCCCCCCCCCCTCTCCCCCCCCCCCCCTTTCACCAGCAGCCACTTTGTTTACTTGTGAGTGCTTTAAAATTCCTCATCTTTACGGGTCCAAGCAAGTGATTTCCACGGCTGACTTTGATGGGTGAGTTGCGGTGAACTCGGTCGGGAAATATTCGCCCTCGAGTGCACGTTCACCGGAGTGCACGTTCACCGGAGTGCACGTTCACCGGAGTGCACGTTCTAAAATCTTTATGTTTGGACTTGTGTCTGGGATGATGGTGTCTGTGCAACTCACATCGCCAACAGCCTGATGATACCACGATGCCTGATTAGAGGGACTCGATAGTGAATGTACTCACCTAGTTGGTGAGTTGGTAGATAATTATCATAGATAATGTGTGTTTATCTACGTGGTATCATTATGTTACACCTGTCATTAGTGTGTTTGTGTCTTACATACGCCACGCAGTTTTCTATCTGATGTTTATAGTCTCCGTGGCGTAGTGGTAAGACACTCGCCTGGCGTTCCGCGAGCGAGTGTCATGGGTTCGTATCCTGGCCGGGGAGGATTTACTGGGCGCAAATCCCTAACTGTAGCCTCTGTTTAACGCAACACTAAAATGTGTACTTGGTTGTAACAACGATTCTTCGCGGCGAGGATCGTATTCCAGGGACCTGCCCGAAACGCTACGCGTACTAGTGTCTCTACAAGAATATAACAAATAATACGAATAGTTTATTTAGGAACAGTACATACATTTTTGCAGAGTTACAGTAGAAACATTGTTAGATTTAAAGATAGAGGTAGTACATACAATACCTAAAGCCACTAGTACGCATAGCGTTTCGCACAACTGTTGTATATATCTCAAAAAAAAAAAAAAAAATGTGCTAACTGTTAATGAGGAGACACTGCGCACGCACACAATTACTGCCTGTCCCATTACCAGTGCTAGTGTTGATTTAACTGCGCATGTTATGGTGATTGGTGTTTACGTTACACCACCCAGTAATTCTACTAACTGCTCAACCACTAACAGCTCTGGTATCATCAACACCATTATCATCAACAAATTGATGCAAGATCCAAGAGAAGTGACTTAAGAGTGTTCAATTGCATTTAATAGATTCTCATGATCAAGAGTGTGAACATCTGAGACAAGGAGCACCCACAGAGGATCCCTCACTCTACTAGTACACTTTTACTCGCCTAATTGTGCTTGCGGGGGTTGAGCTTTGGCTCTTTGGTCCCGCCTCTCAACTCCAACTTGTATGGTACGCAGTGCTCTCGTAATTATCTCATCTAGAGAGCTTAGGTCGAGTCGTCTGCCATATGCAAATGGGTGACGTTGAAGACTATTACAGTCATTTAAGGCAAATATTCCACTCAGGAACGTTGTCCAGTGTGTGATAATGGAGATAACAGGTCCTCGGGCGAGAGGTTCCTGTCAACACCCCTAAGTCGTCTTCTCTGCCAGAGTTCAGGAGGAGTTCCTCTCCCATGTAATACCCATGTGTCTGGCCGCCTCATCCCAGCTTTAGCTCAAGCAAGTGCAAAGTAATAGACTTTGCCACTTGAGGGCGTGTTCGTTAGCCTGGCCTCGCCGGACACTAATGACCTCCGACAACCAACTTATCACCGGCTAATCAATACCTTCCCCCTCTCATTCTCCTCCTCACACGGACTATGGCTCTGTGCTGACTGAACTACAATGTCTGGCTGGCTAAACTATGGGTCACTTAGCTGCTTACACAGTGTGACACGACCACACTAACATGTTCCCCTATACATACACACTTATCTCATGCCTCCTCCCCCCCCCCACACACTCCACACCCTCCCCATGCACACCTCCACACCCCCCCCCTACACACTCCACACCCTCCCTACACACCCCACACCCTTCCCTACACACACACACACACACACACACACACACACACACACACACACACACACACACACACACACACACACCATAGGCCAATACGTCCCCTCAATCATCAACCACCTCGTGTACCACCCCCACACAGCATCCCAGATCGCCCCCCACCATATCAATGCCTCTTACACCCCATCATGTATACCCCCCCCCCCACACTCTACAACACCCCCCACTGCACCTGGCACACCACAATACCACCAATAAAAGTTCGCCCCCGACGCAATATGCCGGACATGAAGCCTGTAATTTACTTTAATTTAGCTCAAAGTTGGATCTAACGCGCAAAGTTGGAGTCTGGGGCTCAGAGGCGCTCCGTGGGGCTCCGTGTCCCACTTCCGTGACAATTTATTGCACTGCACGTTTTTTTCCTCCTTTTCCTTTCAGCATTCTGGTCAACACCTTGCACCTGATGACTGCACCGAGGTAGGTTTTGTGTGTGTATTGACTATTTCTGTCTGCAGAATCGAGCTATTAGCTCTTGGACCCCGCCTTTCTAACCAAACGATTTTTCCTCTTATATCGACTACATATATTCCTCTCTAATGCGCGCGCGCGCGCACACATCCTCGTGAAGCAGTCCGTAGCAGCTGTCTAACTCCCTGGTACCTATTTACTGCTAGGTGAACAGATGCATCAGGGTCAAAGAAACACTGCCCATTTGTTTCCGCCTCCACCGGAAATCAAACCCGGACTATTAAGACTTCGACCCCCAAGTGCTATCCACTAAGCCGCCCGGCCCCTATGTGTGAGAGCGTGAACAAGGGCCAGCGTGAACAAGGGCCAGCGTGAACAAGGGCCAGCGTGAACAAGGGCCAGCGTGAACAAGGGGCCAGCGTGAACAAGGGGCCAGCGTGAACAAGGGCCAGCGTGAACAAGGGCCAGCGCGAACAAGGGCCAGCGCGAACAAGGGCCAGCGTGAACAAGGGCCAGCGTGAATGAGGTTTGGTTAGGTTTAATCACATTTAGTTATGTTAATAGTGATTAATAATAGTTATGTTATTGACGATAATGTGTAATATGAAATTTGTAAACTATTTCAGAATATCCAAGAATTCCGGTTATAGAAAACCAAATTCTTCAAAGAAAACGTTTTCAGCATAAACTTTGAATATATTAAGCTAACGATAAGTAATTCAATAAACTTATAACTTGAGAATATACTCCATTTAGGACAATGGTTCACTTACCAATTTACACAA